AGGTACATTGAAGAAAAAGTTGGCAAAACCCTCCATGACATTGAAGCTAATGGTATCTTCAAAGACGTCACGCCACTGGCCGAGCAAGTGAAAACAGAGATAGATAAATGGGACTATCTTAAACTAAGAAGCTTCTGCACCTCAAAAGAAACAGTGACCAAAATACAAAGACAGTCTACAGAATGGGAAAGGATATTCACCGAATACACATCTGACAAGGGGTTGATATCAAGGATATATAAAGTACTGGTTGAACTCCACAAGAAGAAAACATCCAACCCCATCCAAAAATGGGGCAATGAAATGAACAGAAACTTTCTCAAAGAAGAAATCTGAATGGCAAAAAAGCACATGAGAAAATGCTCTATATCATTAATCATCAGGGAGACGCAGATCAAAACCACAATGAGATACTATCTCACACCTCAGAGACTGGACCACATCCAAAAGAACAAAAGCAACCGATGCTGGCGTGGATGTGGCGAGAAAGGGACACTCCTTCACTGTTGGTGGGAATGTCGACTGGTTCAGCCCTTTTGGAAAACAGTATGGACGATTCTAAAAAAATTAGAAATTGAGCTCCCATTTGACCCAGCAATACCACTCCTGGGAATATATCCCAGAGAGGCAAAAAAGTATAGTCGAAGTGACATCTGCACTTGTTTGTTCATTGCAGCACTCTTTAAAATAGCCAGAATCTGGAAAAAACCTGAGTGCCCAAGAACAGATGACTGGTTAAAAAACTTTGGTACATCTACACAATGGAGTAAAGATGAAGTCATGAAATTTACATACAAGTGGTATTACATGGAAAGTATCATGCTAAGCGAAATGAGTCTGAAAGAGAGGGATAGACATAAAAAGATCGCATTCATCTGGGGGACATAAAGTGACAAAATAGAAGATTAATACCCAAGAATAGCCGAGATCAGTATCAGGAGGATTACTCCATGGCTTAGAGGCCAGCCGGGCAGTTTAGGGGAAAGGGCAGCTCAGACAGAGAAGGGAGCACCAAATAAAGGGTGTTTGGAGGATCCTCCCAGGAGGGGAGATACATGTTGAAAGTAGACTATGGAGCGAACATGACTGCCACTCAATGCCTCTTTTGCAGACCACAACACCCAAAAGGAGAGAGAAAACAAAAGGGAATGCCCTGCCACAGAGGCAGGCTGGGATGGGGGGGGGGGGGTTGGGGGGGGGGGGAGAGATACTAGAATCCGTGGTGGTGGAAAATGGGCACTGGTAGAGGGATGGGTATTTGATCATTGTATAATCGAAACCCAAGCACAAAAATTTGTAAGTCTACAAATGTACCTCATGGTGTTTCACTAATAAAAAAAAAAAATCTCAGGGCTGGGATGAATGAAGAAGTTACTGGCTCCCACTCGAGTAAATCGGTGAACAACAGGATGACAGTGATACAGTGATCCACATATATATGTGTGTGTGTATATATATATGTGTGTGTATATATATATGTGTATATGTATATATGTATATGTTGGCTCTTGGGCCATACTTGGTGGTGCTCAGGGGTTACTCCTGACTCTTGACTCAGGAATCACCCCTTGCGGTGCTTGGGGGACCATATGGGATGCTGGAGCTCAAACCTGGGTTGGCTATGTGCCAGGTGAACACCCTCCCCACTGTACTTTCACTCTGGCTCCAAAAGACACTATCTTTAATCGGTCTATGAATATATCCCAGAAGCGTACAAACAGACACTGCAAGAATGACACTAAAACCAGGCCAGGGGAAGGGCCACAAGGATGCCTGATGGGTAACTCAGGATTGCCTTCTCAAGTTGTGGAGTGAGGCCAGAGAGGGTGAGTAAATGAGTCTTTATGTGTTCTTTTTTTTTTTTGGTATTCCAGAAACATTTCATAGAAAAAAAGTTTGTCTCCCAAACTAAAAGTTACAGCCTCCCAATTCTGTAGGAGATGGGGTTGACAGCAGTACAGGGTGGAAAGCCCCCCGTGGATCTCCTGGGGGAGCTGAGTAGATGCACAGCCGGTCTCCGCATCTGTCCCAGGCTATGGGGAAGGGGACGGCCCAGCGTCTCCAGTGGGGTCTTCTAGCAGCTCTGGGGCAGGCACAGTTCCCCTTCCTCCTGAACGAGCTCATCAGAGCCGACGCGCCCCCTTCTTACTTGAAGGCTGGAGGTACGGCTCCACGTGCATTTCCAGAAACACCCCCAGGTCCTCACGGGAGCCAGGGACGGGCAGTGGGCAGGCTTGGGGGGCTAAGGACGTGGACAGAGGGGTTGCCAGAAGGCCTGACAAGAAGCCACCGAACTTCTCCAAGACAGATGCTGATGAAAGCGAGAATCAGACTCGGGAGACTGAGTGCGAGGTTGGAAGGCAGCAGGGCTGGCAGAACCCAGCGGCTGGCATAAGCCAGGCCCAGTCGGACCATCCCGAAACCTCAGCCCGATTCTGTGTGGGGTCTGTGTGTGTGCCAGTCTCACCCCTTCTCTAGGCGCCCAGCGGTGAGGTGGTGCCCACACTGGGCTCCTTCTGAGAAGAGCTGGGAAGCTCTGGACCCCTCAGGCCTGAGCAAAGTGTGGGCTTGGGTGCAAATGGGCATCAGTCCCATCTCTGCCACAGGGAGGCCTCACAGGTGGGAACCCAGGGTGTGGCGTGTCCTCTGGCTTCCTCAGACTCGTTTTTCTTTTCTTTTTTTTTGGAGGGGGGCGGGGTCACAGCTGGCAGTGTTTAAGGTTTAGTCCTGGCTCTGCACTCAGGAATCACTCCTGGCAGTGGTGGGGGACCATATGGGACGCCAGGGATTGACCCTGGGTTGGCCGTGAGCACAGCAAACGCCCTCCCGGCCGTACTATGGACCTGGTCCCTCCCAGACTCTTGGCCCACCTATGCTGCCTTTCCCAGGAGGCCCTGGGGTCTCCCCCTCCAGCCCTGTTCAAATTTTCTAGGTGGCCTCCCAAGCAGTGCTCGGGAAACGGGGGCCCCCTCCCTGCAGCCTCAGCCAATTAGACCTGAGGATACAACCCCGTAAGGGCTCTGCAGTGCTCGGGGACCTCCAGGGCTGCACCCAGTGATGCTCAGGGCACCAGGTGGTTCAGGGCACTGAATTGGGGTCAACCATGCAAAGCATATGCCCACACCACTGTACTCTCTGGCCCTCTCGTTTAACTTTGAAGACAAAAACAGAACCAAGAAAAACCCCTGGGTGATGGCAGCACTACTCGTGCCCGAGAGATGAGACCGGGGCTAAGGGGTCTATGCACTTTGCTGAAGGCACCCAGCTACGAAGGGGTGGAGTCCGAGCTCACACTCAAGCCTGTAGGGCTGCTCTCACCTCTCACCCCACTGGCTCGCCCAGGCCGGCCCAGCACCCCTGAGCACGGATGCCGGGGCCTGGCTCCCCGAGGGCCCAGGGCAGGCTGTGTGCCCCTCTAGGTGGCTCCACTCCCTTCCTTCTTGTGGGGCATGTGGTGCTGCCCAACTGCTGGGCCCTGACCCCACGGCAGTCCGGCCTCCTCCCCGAGGCCTGTCCTCCTCCAGCCTGCCCAGCAGGAAGCAGGCCTGGTGCTGGGCCAATTCCAGGGCATTTACAATGACGGAGCTGAGGGATCTGGCCCTGCCCTCCAGGAGCTCTCTGACAAGTGTCACCATGGCAGAGGAAAGAAGTGGCCAAAGAGGGTCGATAGATGGGCAGCGGTCAGGAGGAGAAGCCAGTCCCCACACAGGCTCCCCGGGCTTACCAAAGTGGATGTGATTTCTTGCAATTTTTTCTTACAAAACGCCCAACTGTGGGCCAGAGAAACAGTAAAGGGATAAGTCACTTGCCTCACATAGGGTTGACCTGGGTTCGACCCATGACACCCCATATGGTCCCTCAAGTCCCGCCAAGAGTGATCCCTGAGCACAGAGCCAAGAGTAAGCCCTGAGCACGGCTGGGCATGGCCCCCAAGTGGACAAATAGCCTAACTGGCCTCCCAATTCTGCTGCCAAGCCCTGCCCGGGACCGAGGCCACCAGCATCCCAGGCCCCAGGGTTCTGAGAATGGTGGGGTGCTGCATCAGCCCCCACTTCCTACCCAACCTGTGTGGGCAGTGGGCTGAATCCAAACCCTTTCCTCCTGTCTGGGGAGGCGGGTGAAGCCGGGAGGCTGCCTCCTTGTCCGGGTGGGCTCCGGGTCCCGGGGTGGCTTTCCCTCGCCCTGTCCCACCTACCTGGGCGCCTGCACCTCACGTCTGTCTTCTCTCGAGCTTGCTACCTACTTGCCACTGCCTGCATTTGGCCTTGCTGAGGCAAGGGCTGTGGAGTTAAACCAGATCGCACTGAGACCCCCAGATTCCTGTTCAGTGGCCCCAGCCCCAGCTCCCCTTAGCTCCGGAAGGAGCCACCAGCTCGGGGTGAACCTGGGGCCATGGTGATGGGATGGGGCGGGAGAGACTATGTGTGTGTGTGTGTGGGTGGGGGGGGGGCGCCCCAGAGGGAGGAGTGTCCTGATGGATGCAGCCCTGAGAAGGAGAGCACTCAGTGGGGGCCACTTGGGAGCCCCTGCCCCTGGCTGCGAGAGGAAAGGGAGAAGCACCACACCACCGCAGGGAGAGCTGCTTCAAGCAGGGGCCAGAGCGGAAAGATGCCAGGCTGACAGGTGGGGGAACCCTCAAGCTGATGGCCGCAGCGTCCACGTAAGGCCTTCGTCCTCTTGCTCAGAAAGCGAAGGAGCCCTGGCCAGGTTGGAGAACTCAGAGGGTGAGGGAGGTCTGGGGAGATGAGGTGCCTCCAGGTGGTGGTGAGCCCCCCTTCCTGGGAAACCCACGCCAGGGCAGGGCTGGCGGGTGCTGGGGAGAAACTGGCTGGGTGCAGGATCAACCCTGGGAGGCTTGCCCAAGACCCCCGCTTCGTCTTCTGCCCTCCCTGTCTGGGTGCCCAGGAGCCTGCAGCCTCGAGTCGTTAACGCTTCTTGAGAGAAGTGTCCACTGGCTCTCCGTGGGAGGCGGCAGGCCGGGGCCCGCGGGCGGCACTCACCACTCTCTCCTTGTAGACGATGTACTTGAGCCACTTGAAGTCCTGCCACTTGAAGCCCGCCAGGACGAAGAGGGAGTCACGTTCGTACTGCTCAGGCCGCTGCATGGCGCCCTCGGGGTAGGTGATGCGCAGGGTGGTCTTGCTGCCCACGTCCTTCTCAAAGCCTCTCACGGGAGCCGAGTTCAGTCTACAGAGATGGCAAGTCAGAGCCGGCCCGGGCTTAGGAGGCCCCGAGACCCCCAAGGGGCCAGCATGGCCCTCCGACCCCGTGCTCCTCTTGATGTGAGCAGCTGGATGGGCTGTTCCCAGGGGGCGCGGGGGCGGGATTGGGGTTGGGGTCGGGGCACTCACCTGACCACGATGTCATAGTCATCGATGCGGGGCCCCAGGGACTTGTTGGCAAGGACCCCTCCATTGCCCACGATGATGCATCGGCGGCAGGGGAGGCTGAGGGAGAGGCACAGACATCTGACCGCTGCCCCCGGGTCTCCTGCCCCACCCTCTGGCCTCGTGGTACCCTCAGACATCCCTGGGACTCCCCAACCTCCCCACAACCTCCATACTCCTCCAGAAAAATGGGGGTGGAGGAAGAGGGCCTCCGGCACTGGGTCAGAGACTCCCCCCGGGCGATGGGGTGGCGGGCAGCTTTCGGGGAGAGGGGAATGCGAGGAAGCCCGGGTGCTTTCACCCTAGTAGCCTCCTGCCCCCTGCCCCCACCCCCGGGCTCTGACATCACCCCCTCCAGGGTCTGCTGGCTCATAGCTGTCTCTGCTGCCCGGGCAGCCCCCACCACTCGCACCCCCACCCAACACCTGCTGATCCCACCCTGGGCCTTCAGCTCTCCCTGTAATCTGAGGCATCCTGCCAGGCACTCTGGGCCCCCCGCAAGTGCCCAGTTGGGTGATGCAGCCCTGGGAAAGTCGCCTGGGGCTCCAATGTCTGTACCCACCACCATGGCCGCCAAGGGGGAGGCGGGGGCCAGTGGCTCACCTGTCCAGGGCCGGGGTCAGGCGATACTCTTTGGTGACTGACAGGATGGCTTTGATCAGATTGTCTGTGCACAGAAGGGAGAGGCGATGTCAGAGGCCACTGAAGTCCCCAAGGCATGTGGAAGCCGAGGTGGGCAGGAGTTATGGATAGAGGGGAGGTTGGACACCAAACAGGACAGGAGGCTCAGGCCATGAAGGCTCAGGCCATGAAGGCTCAGGCCATAGAGACACATGCCACAAAGACACAGGCCACAGAGACACAGACCACAGGAGACACAGGCCACGGGAGACACAGGCCACGGGAGATGCAGGCCACAGGCACAGAAGACACAGGCCACAGGAGACACAGGCCACGGGAGACACAGGCCATGGGAGACACAGGCCACGGGAGACACAGGCCATGGGAGACACAGGCCATGGGAGACACAGGCCACAGAGACATATGTCACAGGAGACGCAGGCCACAGGCACAGAAGACACAGGCCACAGGAGACACAGGCCACAGAGCCACAGGCCACAGAGCCACAGGCCATAGGAGACGCAGAACACAGAGGAGACAAAGGCCACAGGGAAGATGAAAAGACAATGTACACAAAGCTCCAAAGATGATGGCGCGCAAGCTGGACAACCACAGTGGGGAGCAGTTCAATCCTATCAAGCAGAAAGAACCTCAAGTGTCCGCAGATCAAGACCGAGCACTCTGCTGCCAGGTATATAACATCAAAGCCCCACACATCTGTTTCAGGAGCCTCGTCTAACAGTGCTCATTGTAGAATGTTAGTGTTTTATTTATTTATCTATTTATTTTTATTTTCTTTTTTGGATCACACCCAGTGATGCTCAGGGGTTACTTCTGACTCTGCACTCAGGAATTACTCCTGGCGGAGAACAGGGGACCATACAGGATGGCCGTGGGCAAAGCAAACACCCTCCCTGCTGTCCTATTGCTCCGGCCACTCACTGTAGAATGTTAGAGGCAACCTAGATGCCCATCAAAGGAAGAGAGATCAAGTATGAGGCACATGGCCACCTACATAGCAGCTACAAAAAAATAATATAATAAAGCTAGGCCCCAGAACTGTGTCTCCTGATGCAACTGAAAAGCATAAGCAGAAACCCAGTCTGAAAACACATGCACACATAGCACCATTTGTTCGGTATCAGATATGCAAACAGACCATATTTTAAATGGTTGTGTAAATATGTCACCAGAGGAATGCACAAACACAGGGCCTGAGCAATAGTGCAGTGTGTAGAGCACTTGTCCTGTATGTGGCTAACACGGGTTCGACCCCTGACACCCCATATAGACCCACAAGCACCACTAGGAACGATCCGAGTGCAGCACCAGGAGTGAACCCTGAGCACTGGCAGGTGTGGCCCCAGAACAGAAGCAAATGAATAAAACTGGTGGGTGTTCCCTTCCTGCAGGCTGCTGGGCCTGGCACCGGCCTTTTCTTCCTCGTTTTGTGGAAGTCTTGATTGAGGACTTCAAAGAAGAAAGCAGACCGCGGGGCTACACGCACACGGGACAAAGGCCATCTCCAGCCCCAGGTCTGTCCTCGCAGGCCAAGGTCGACGTGGTTGTGAAGGTCACTGTCTGTTTCTCAGGGAGGGTGGGTCAGACCCAGGTAAACCTCACTCCTCTGGACAAATGATATCAGCCCTTTAAGAGTATTTTAATTCTGGGTTTTTTGTTTTGTTTTGTTTTGCTTTTGAGGTCACACCAGGCCATGCTCAGGACTTACTTCTGGCTCTGTGCTCAGGGATCAAATCAGGTGGGGCTGGGAACTAGGTAGGGTGCTGGGGATCAAACCCAGGTCAGGCATGCAAGGTGAGCACCTTATCCACTGCACCACTGCGCTGGCCCCAGAGCTATTTAATCCGGGCCACCACCAGAGACAGTGACCTTATCTTCTCCATTTTGACCGACCAACTAGAGCCCGGACAGGTGACGTTAGTTGTCAAAGGTCATAGCTAGTCTAAGGCAGAATCTGATCTACCTCTCTGATCCGAAAACTGCATGGAACCCTGACAAAGGAAATAGCTGTTGGACATCTGGGAGGGGCCTGAAGGCAGGGGACAGGGAGAGTCTGAACAGAGCTCGAAGGCCAGTCCTGGTCAGGGCAAGGGAGGACCAGAGGGGGCCAAAGTCAAAGTGACAAAGAATGGAGCAGGTGACGGCGGAGATGAGTCAGGGACGGCCTCTTCTTTTCTCTGAAGTTCTTCCTCATACCTAGACCCCCCAGTGCCAGGGTCTCTGGCCCTCCCTCTCCTTGACATTCCTAATGGCCTCACTGCCCCCCGCACTGAGGGGTTCTCTCCTGCCCCAGGACGGAGCCAGTGGTGCTTCCTACACATATACCCGGCCCTGGCTCTCCAGCACATTCTAGCAAAGCAAAGGACAGGAGTGAAGGGAAGAGCGGGGCAGCAAGGGGGCATTGTGGAGAGTGGAGAGGACAGCAGACAGGGACCTCGCCCAGACGAGGGGCCAGCCCCGACCGGAAATGGAGGCAGAGGGTCTAGGGGAGGAGGTACAAAGGGTGAGTGAGTCACGGCTCCTGACATACCTTGACCTTTGATCCCAAAGGGTGGCACAAATTCCCGGATCCGAGCCCACTTACGGAAGGAGTCGTCGAGGAACATGGGTGCTGGCTTGGAGAACCTGGAAGACAACAGTGCCGCCGAGGGTCCCCAAACGCCACCAGGCAGAGTGCCAGCGGCCTGCTCTGGGCATCCGTTTCGGCCTGGAGCTGGGGAAGCCTCCCACCTGTCAGCCCACCCCTCGGCCCCCGCTGGCCGGCTGGAGCGCAGCTGTGTGGGGTCTGGCAGATATTGTTCAGGGGAGCCTGAGTTTGAAGGCGCAGGCCTGGCCCGTCTGAACGTGGCCAGCTGGAGGAACGAAGAGACAAGATCTGCTCGGCGAGCCTCAACGTCTCAGAGCTGGCAGTTCCGCAGCCAATTGTCTGTGGCTCCATCCATCAAAGTCACCGCACCCACATTATTCCCGCACATCTATCAAGCCGAGCAGGAAAAGGCCCAGAGCAGAGCCAGAGCAGGGAGACGGGTTTTTGGAGAGAATTCTGGAAGGTGGGCCACACAGGATGTGGAGGGGAGAGAATTCATGAGGAGCGGGTGAGGGGGTGAAGAGCTACGAACTCAGGGGTTTGGGAGAGAAGAGAAGGAACAGAGCCCGGGAGGAGGCAGAGCCTCCTGGTGGCAGTAAGGATGCCGAGAGGCTAAGCACCCCCCCAGGGGTGCAGAGGGAGCGAGACCCAAAGGGAGAGATCACTAGTGTTGCCTGGATGAGAGACGGGAGAGGGAGGGAAAGGCCAGCTCACCCCTGGGACTGCTGAGGGGCCAGGCAGGAGCAGGCAGGGCAGAGGGAGGAGAGGACGGAACGGAAGCGGCGGACTCTACAGAGACATCAGGCAACGTGATGGGACGTGGGGCCCGCACCCTGGTGTGGAGACCCAGAGCCTGCCAGGACGGAAGCCTTCCTAGGGGCATCCCAGGGCCTTCCCAGCTGAGAACGACACGCAGAGGCTGAGGCCACCCACCCGAGGACAAGCTCAACCCTGGAGAAGCTCCTCCAAGCCCATGAGCCGGATGAAGCCAGGAGTCCACTCAGCCCAGCAGACACACGTCACCCCCCCCTTAGCACCCCCACCCCCGGCACGACCGTCACGCACCCAGGAGAACGCCAATACTGTGTGGGGTGCACTAGCCGAAAGTGACAACTTCCGCCCGACACCCCCGTACCCCCACTGCGGGCTGTTTGGAGGACAGTTTTGCCTTCCTGGCGGGGAGAGGTGTGTTCTGCCGGGCCTCTGGGCAAGCACACCCCGCTTCACATTGAGGGGCTGAGCCCAGCTTTCAGACCCCGCACGGACAAGTGAGGCTAATGCTGGTATTTGAGCGGAGGCCCCGCAGTCCCCCAAGAGCCTGCAGCAGGAGCCTCGCCCCAAGGGTCAGGGCTGAGCTGACAAGCTCTTTGCAAAGTTTCTGAGTCAGGCTTAGACAGGATTTTATCTGTTTCTCAAGACGTACTGGCTGGTTTATGCTAATAAAACCTCCTGAATCCAGCCAAGCGGCCTCTGCAGAATTTTCTTTTTCTTTCTCCCTTCTCTTTTTTCTTCCCGCTGATCAGAAAGTTCATTGCATTAATTTTTACTTTGAAAATAAACCTTTGTATCACTCTGTGTCAGTTCTGATAACAATACAGGCACATGACAAAAAAAAAATACCCATAACTCCGCAATGTAAAGACAATAGGCTGCTTGGCGTATGTCCATACTGATTTTCCTTTTTTCACATATGTATGAGAATATATACATATATAAACATACACACACACGCACACACACATACACACACACACATTTTTGGACCACACCTGGCAGTCCTCCGGGTTTACTTACTTCTGGCTCTACACTCAAGAATTACTCCTGGCAGTGCTGGGAACTAAACCCAGGTCAGCTGCATCACGGCAGGTGCCCTACCCCGCTGTCCTGTGCCTCTACTCCCTTCCATATTACCTCCCAGCAGTACACAATCCTTTTCACTTTAGAATCTACTGCTGGGACCAGACACATAGCACAATGGGGAGGGCGTTTGCCTTGCACGTGGTCGACCTGTGTTCGATCCCCGGCATCCCATAGGGTCCCCCGAGCACCACCAGGAGTAATTCCTGAGTGCAGAGCCAGGAATAACTCCTGAGCATTGCCAGGCGTGACCTAAAAAAAAAAAATCAGCAGTAGATAATATTACTGCTATGCAAATGGTCTGGGTCAAACAACAAAAGTCATGTGATGCTGTCAACAGCATCACGGTCCCAAAGTTCAATGTGCAGGAGACACAAATGAAAACCTGACAGTGATGAGAGTTAAGGGCTGATGTTTGTGTTGCCCGTGGCCCCCCCAGCATCTTCAGCGCTACGGTGCTTGGAGATGAGCACCTTAGGGAGCAATGAGGCCAAGGGATGGAGAGAACTGAAGCGCTAGGCCAGATAACCAGCTCCCTCTTTCTGCCTGTGGTAAAGGTAAAGGTAAAGGCCCTTCCGTTGATCATCGATTTGCTCGAGCGGGCCCAGTAACGTCTCCATTGGAGACTTTGTTGTTACTGTGTCTGGCATATCGAATACTCTCGGTAGCTTGCCGGGCTCTCCGAGAGGGGCGGAGGAATCGAACTCGGGTCGGCCATGTTGGCCGCTTGTAAGGCGAACGCCCTACCCGCTGTGCTATCACTCCAGCCTGTGAGGGGACAAGAAATCAGCTGTCCAGCAAGCAACCCACATGAAGTCTTCGTGAGGGGCCAACAGGACAGCCGAAAGGAGTTTGCCCTGTATGTGACCAACTCAGGTTTGACTTCTGGCATCTCCTAAGATGAGCCTTGAGCCTTACCAGGCGTGACTCCTGAGCACACAGCCAGGAGTGAGCCCTGAGTACCTGATCACCTCTGGGTGTGGCCAAAAAACAAAGTCCTCATGAGAACTTAACCATGTTGTTAGCCTCATCTTAGATTCCAGTCTCCTGAACTGTGAAAAATCAATTGCTGTGGGGTTTTGTTACAGCAGCAAGAGGCTCACTAAGACATAAACAATGGACAGAAAAACCCATTAAATCATGGTCAGTAACAGTACATGCCTGGGCAGGGTTCCTTAACGATCTCTGCCTACAGGGCCCGAAAGATGGCCCGGAGGGCTGAGCACACCCTCTGCGCCCTGAAGACCGGGGTTCCCTCCCCGTCACTGCAGGGTTCTCTGAGCACCACCAGGAGTGACTCCTAAGCACTGCTGCAGTATGTGTTTTGTGTTTTTGGGCCCACACCTGGCAGTGCTCAGGGCTTACTCCTGGCTCTGTGTTCAGGAATCGCTTCTGGGGGTATTCAGGGACTAGATGCAGTGACAGGATTTGAACCTGGGTCAGCCTCAGGCAAGCAAGTGTCTTACCCCCATGCTATCTCTCTGGCCCTGTACCATTTTCTCTGCTAGTTCGTGGAAGTGGAGCTTGAGTCTGGTGCCTTAGACCACTTGGCCATCCTGACACCCTTCTCTGCTAGTTCGGTACTCCTTAATACAAAGAATACTCTATTTTTTTGGTGGGTGCGGTGGTGAATTTGGGGCCACACCCAGCAGTGCCCAGGGCTTGCTCCTGGCCCTGCTTCATTCCTGGTCCCAGGGGAACATCTGGGGTCCTGAGGATCAAACTCCGATCAGCTGTGTGCAAGGCAATGCACCTGCCCCTCTTTTCTTTCCTTCTGTGCGGTATTTTATTTGCTTCTTTTAGCTTGTTTGGATTTGGGCCACACCCAATTGTGCTCAGGGCTTACTCCTGGCAGTGCTCAAGGAGGCATATGCAGCGCTGGGGTTGCAACTGGCCATGAGCAAGCCTTAGCTCCTGTTCTCTCTCTTTCTCTGGCCCCCTGATACTTGGTTTCTGGACCACACTGGCTGCGATCAAGGCTTACTCCTGGCCCTACGCCAGGGATCACTCTTAACAGTACTCAGGGGAACAGAAGTGGAGCTGGGGACTGAACCCCAAGTTGGCTGCATGCACAGAAAGCATTCTATCTACTGTACTCTCTCTGTCTAGTCCCTATTTTAAAACTATTTATTATGAATATCTTCAAAGGAAAAAAGAAACCCTACTAGTACAGGGAAGCCCTTCCCAGACCCGTCACCCAGGTTTGCCAACTACCAATCAGTTCCTTTCACTTCTTTTATACTTTCTGTGTGATTTTTATATTATTTTGTAAAACCCTAGAAATCACACCATTTCATAGAGAAAATATTTCAGTGTTGGTTTTTCGCTAGACTAAGACGGTACAAAGTATTAGTTTCTAAATGCAAAGGACACTTCAGGCTGGAAGATAGTAGCACAACATATAGTCCCGAGAGCCCTGCCAGGAGTGGTCCCCGAGCACTGAGTTAGTTGTAAGCCCCGAGTGCAACTGGATGTGACTCCAAACACCTGTCCTTCCCCCGCCAAAAAAGGAAATTAAAAAAAAAAATAATCACTGGGCTGGAGAGCTCACACAGGGATTAGACTACTTAAAAAAAAGCTAACTGTGCTTTCATAGTGCCGACAGATATCCATCTTTCAGATTTCTATTAATGTCGCATTTTTTTCTTCTTTTTTTTTTGCAGTGCCTGGGATGGATCCCAGGTCTCCCAAGTACACGGCATGCACTTTGCTACTGAGTCACATCCCTGTCCCCTCATTAATGCGTATTGTTGTTCAGACTTGGTTTGCCTGGGCCAGAACCACGGTTCCCACACTGTGCTTGGCGGATCTCTCCGTCCCTTTACAACCCATAGATTCCCTCTTTCTTTTTCTCCCCCCCCCCCGCCTTTTCATCTTGGCTTGTGAATCCTTTCGACACGCCCCAGTAATCTTAGATAATGTCTTTGCTTTCTAGTATGAAAGATGTTCCAGGCTTGTCTTATTCATTTCTTGCTACTACCTGGAATTGTTCATTTTCCCAAGGAGCCCTAGTTCTTTCTAAATGGAAATGTACTCAGAGATTAACATCGGGGCGGCTAGGGATGCTCACATCAAGAGGGGCCCGGGTAGAAAACCAGAAAATTATTTTTTAAAGAGAAAGTACAGCACACATTTATCCTGGTATTCCCAATTCAAATTTTTAGGATTACGGTAGTTGCAT